GTGCTCAGGGCTGGTGCACTGGGAAGACCCAGAGGGATGGGATGGGGAGGGAGGTGGGAGGGGGGATCAGGATGGGGAACACATGTAAATCCATGGCTGATTCATGTCAATGTATGGCAAAAGCCACTACAATATTGTAAAGTAATTAGCCTCCAACTAATAAAAAGAAATGAAAAAAAAAAAAGGAAAATTCCTCCCTTAAGTGGTATAAAGGGGGATGAGTCGTCATGATCCCTGAAACAAGCACTCAAACAGGAAATCTTACACATGTTCATCAGCACTTTCAGTGCAAAATACAAACCCCTTTCAGAAAAGGCATATAATTAGCTTTAACACACCTCACTTAGGAACATTGCTTACAACTTAATATTTAAGGGTAACGATTTTATGGTTACATTTTATGTCTCTTTTAATTTTCAGATTATCTCCCTTAACACAATATTATTTAAAATAGGAAAAAAATTGACTATCCAATAGTCAATTGACTCAAAATTGACATATCAGTAAGATAGAATAGTATGCACTATTTAAAAGTGTTCTTGCTGCTGCTGCTTCTGCTAAGTTGCTTCAGTCGTGTCTGACTGTGTGCAACCCCAATGACAGCAGCCCACTAGGCTCCTCCGTCCCTGGGATTCTCCAGGCAAAAATACTGGAGTGGGTTGCCATTTCCTTCTCCAAAAGTGTTCTTATATTTGAGGATTTAGGGAAATATTCATGATAATTGGCTAAGTGAAAAAAATTTAAAAATGTACCACATGATTTACATTTTAAAAATGCATTGAGAATGGATACACAGCATTATATCAGTGATTCTGGGTGGCAGAAAAATAGTTTTATACTGAGTAAAATTATATGCACATATATGTATATATATATGTATACACATATATTTGTTTTATATTTGTATGTGTTTTAGAGTATATAGGTGGACACAGAACAAAATGCTTAGAAGGAAATATACCAAATTATTAAGCAGAGTATCCAGATTATTATTTGGGTGTTAGGACTGTTGATTTTTTTTAACTTTTAAATGTAGTCTCCAGAAACTACCAGTAAAATAAATTGTTTAGTTTGTGCATGCTTGATTCTGTCTTTGCATCCATACTTTAATGTATGACATCATTGTTTTCTTAAAATGACCCCATTTTCACATATGTGTATATATTCCTTATTCCTTCTTCATGTGGTTATCTGAGTGTATGGTTTTGAGTATGTTTTGCATCTTGACAATGAATATCCTGAAATTTTAATATCTGTGTGGTTTTTTGGATAAAAGTAAGTGTCTCCATAGTTCTTTACTCTGTGACCACCAAACCTCATTACATAAATTATCAGCTAACAAACTTTACAGGTAAGGAGGTAGTAAATTGGTCAAAGGTACAAGTAATGAGACAAAACTGACTTCTGACACCAAATAGAAATCTCTTCAACTCTGATACTTGTGAATGTTCCCATTCCCTCTTTTCTCCTTGTCCTGTTGTCAGCAGTTGTGTCAGGCACATCCTAGGTGACTCCAATGATTTTTGCCCTATATAATCCTCTCTGCTTAAGTGTAGGCAGAACTGAGGCTTGCTGTCAGCCAATAGTTTATGGCAGAAGTATAGGATGTCACTCCCATGACTATATTATGTTATATAACACTTCATCTTAGGAGACCAGAGAGAAATTTTTCTTGCTGGCCTGATGAAGTAAGCAGCCATGTTGAGGAAATACATGTGACAAGGAACTGCACCTGGTTTCTAGGGCCTGAAGGAGCCCTGAGCTAAGACAGTGGAACTTAGGTGGCAAGGTCATGCAGGCAAGAAAAGTAGCAATAGACAGCTGGTTTTTCCCCACAAGGAGCTCGCTGATTGGTAAATGGCATAGGGCAGATTCAGAGATGTATAGCAGCCAAGAACCTTATGTGCTAAGGTGATCAACTTGGAGATCAGACCCCACTAGTGATTATGGGCCCAGGCAATTATCATAGTTTCAATTGGAACCTCTGAAGAACTTAGGAGGAAATTCATAAGAAAATACAAATTAATCCCAATAATTATTTACTTTTTTGCTTAGTTTTTTATTTTCCTGGAGTTTCTAACAGTGCTTTTTAAAATTTTCTTGTTTATTTTTCCAGCATCATAAAACATACAATTGTATCTGTGGAATTCTCCTCTGGTATTAGAATTCAGGATAGTTAATAGCTTTGAGGGGGAGGACTTGGAAAGGGCAAAGGGAAGATCTTCAATTAGGGTCAATATCAGGCTAGAATTTTTTTTTTTTCTTGGAAGAATACCTGTCTGCAGAAGATTGCATTGCTATGCTCCAAAACCGTCATAGACTATACTGTGACTGACATACAGGGACCTTCCAAAATTTTCATACATCATGTCCATCTGCCACAGACACTTCATATGCTAGGTCATTTGGTATCCCACACCTATTGCAAAGTCTATTCTTGCTCTAGGCCACACTGAAAATTGGCTGTTTTCTGGGTTATTCAGTAAATGGAGCAGAGCAGCAGGATAGAAGGAGGTTTATTGTGCCTAGTGCTCCTCATGAGTTATGGGACCCTGCTATCTCAAAAGTAGTATAATTCTCTGACACATATTTCATGGTCTTACTCAAAAATCTAAGGGGCTTGTTTCTCACTCTGCATCTTTTCCCACCACTGATACCTTCAGCCCCTTAGGGCAGCCAGACCATATGGTGCAAGCAAGAAGGCTGTTGGCACTAGAGCCTGGGCTAACTGCAGAGCCTTTCCTGCCCTAGGCCCCAGCCAAAGCTGGCAGCCTTTTGTGTCACCTGGAATATGGGCCAGACAAGTATTTCTAGGTGTAAAATGTGTCACCTCTGATCCCAAAGAGGACCTTAAGGTGCTATATTTCTCTTTTGTGAAGTTAAACTTGGTGTGGTTGAGCTTGCGGTAGTTTAAACTTATTCTCTGGGATCCAGCTGGTTTCTTCAGGGGCCAGAAAGATGAAATAAATAGAACTGTGGTAAGGACCATCACCCCTTAACCCCTGACCTGGCATGGGCTTACCTGGGCTTTCTCCACAGTGGGCTTTCTCCAGTGGGCTATCTCGGCCGCCTCTTCTCCTTGTCCCAACCTGAAGATCCCATGTGGCTGGCTCACAAGGTATCCTGTTAAGGGGAAATGACAAAGGACTTGGTTATGAACACCTACAGCATTCTGGAACCGAGGCCCGTCCCTGCAGGGTGGGGATGGTCTGGCCATGAGCCCAGCCAGTGGGCCCTCAGTGCAGACCATCCACAGAGAAGGTGAGAGCATGACCATGCTGGGCAGGGGGCATACGCCATTAGGAATTCCTGACCAGGAGCCTGAGGCCCGACTCATTCAGGGCCCAGATGCCCCTGAGCTGCAGCAGCCCAGAGAGGAAGACACGAAGGGGTGTGTTCCAGTCACTCTGTGGAGGGTCCCTCACCAATGGAGACAAAGTGGCTGTAGTTCTCCAGCATGACATCCCTGTGGAGGTTCTTCTGAGCAGCGTCCAGCTGCTGCCACTCCTGGGTGAAGTCCACAAACATGTCCTTGAAGGTCAATGTTTCCTACAACACTACACACTACTCCTTAGCCCAGTGATTAGCTTGCAGACGGAGATAG